CATCAAAAAAGGGAAGTGAAGAACTTCCATGAACACCTTGCAGGACCGTGTTCTCAGATGAAAACATCTGCTAAAATGTGCGAAGCCCAGGAAGAAAAGGCTACATTAGTGCTGCAGGACATGTATGTGGCTCCTCTGGAAAGAATAAGAATGCTGCACGTTCTGATTGTTTACTTTGCTTGCTTTTTTTTTTTTTTCCCCCATGGTATTTACAATGCCCTGGTACTCATTCAGCTTTCTTAGCTAACAGGTGGGGAGGCAGAGAGACCTGCCTGAAATCCTGGCATCAGACACCTTGCAGTCCTTCCTGCTTCAGGCACCTTGCAGGTACATTGACCTGAGGCAGGCGGAAGCAGGCAGCTTGGATCTGTGTTCCTGGAGCAGGACAGGACCCCAGCGGAGCGGAGATTCCCTACTGCATCTGTCCCACTGACTTCTGCATGAAGCTCCTCTCAAACCTGTGTGGCTTTCCCAGGAGTCATCCATATTTCCCTGAGGCTGAATATGGTGTGCTCAAGAGATGCTGAAGGCACCAAACCACTGTCTTCTAGGGTCTCCAGACTGCCAGACTGGCTGCCAGCTTGTTAAACAAGCACTGAAGTGCCATTAGGGAGCTGAAGTGTCATCAATGTTAAAAAACAGCTGACTGAACCTGTAGCTTAATTTAGGAACTTGTCAGACATATGGCAATGGCCTGGTAAGGCTTGGTTAAAGGTGGCATTTGCAGGCTTCTGTACATTTTTAATCTCTGTGTACAATAAGATATTGCACATTAGCTTTTGCTCTTGCTGGCAGATTTCTTGTGGGAAGATCTACTTTGGGACTTCAGTAGCACTGAATACAGAGCAACTGACAGAAATAGGGAGTTTGGACCAATCTCTCTGCTGGCATAACTCCATTAGAGCCAGAGGGTGAAATCGCAGCCCTGTTGAGATGCATGGGACTTCTGCCAGGCTTGCGACTGCTGAGAGCTCTTTTAACAACTCAACCCTGATTTTGCTTTGGAATGAAACCTCCCTGTGGATCTTAGCCTAGGAACACTTGCATCTTTCACACAGAAGAAAAGTGTTCTGCAGCAAGCAAATGAACTTGGAAACAATTTTAACTTCATCAGTGGAACCCTTGCAGTAGACATTCATTACAGGCTACATTTGGCTTGTGTGGTAAGACACTGACTGAGTGGTACACAGACATTCATCTCCCTCAGAGATGGACAGGCTCCTGCTTTGGCCACAGTCACAGTTTATTGGATGTGCTCCCTGTTACTCCCATGAACTGCACAAGCAAAGTTCTGGTGCTCTCTGTGTGATCCATTCATGTAGTCACGGCTCATCAACAATTTTTTTAAGACCAGGAACCCTAGATACTGACAACGTATGCATTGCATACTGCTGTCCTGGCTTCTGGGCTTCTTTTTCATGCCTACCCATTGCTACAGGGTATTTGTGAGTCTGCTGAAGGTCTTGGGGCTGAAGATAGACCTGCATCAAAGCCCTTTTTTGTGTAAGACTGACTACACCCCCAGCAAGGTCAAAAAGCTGGTGCTCCTATCATCCACAGCTGCACCTCAATAGCCTTATGGTTCTGAGGTTAAAAACAAAGAAAGAAAGTAAGTGCTGGAAAACCAAAATAAATTAATAACAATTCTGGTTTCTTTATACATTATATAGAAGCAGGATGGGGAAAAGTGTTTTGCTTTGCAGGTCACCTTCACAGCAAACAGGAATCATTCAATCACTGCTGGATAATACCAAGGGCACTCTCAGAGGTTGGCAATTGGAATGATTAAAAAAATATGAGCAAGATTTTAAGTGTCTCTTTATGAAACAAACAGAGCAAAATTGTTCATCAGTGGTGGAACAGATACTGTAAACATTGTCTTAAATGAATCTGGAAGGAATTTGTAAGAGAGAAGATGACCAGCTCTGTCTTCCCAGCACAGTGCCAGCCCCTTACAGAGGGGAGTTTGTGACCTTGCCTTCCTACTATACACATCAAGCTTCCTGGAGCTCTGTGTCTCTTTCTGCATTTGAGAAAACAGGAAATATTTAACAGAATCACAGAGTCAATAAATTGGCTAGTGAGCTAGCACAGGTTGTCCAGTTGGGTTTTGAGTATCTCCATGCAGGAAGACTCCACAACTTCTCTGGGTAACTGGCTCATTTTTGGGCACTCTTAAAGAAAAAAAAAAATGGTTTTTTTTGTGTTTGGGTGGAATCTGATGTGTTTTCATTTGCGCTTCTTATCCTGTCAGGGAGCACTACTGAAAAGAGTCTGCCTCCTGGCTCTTCCTGTGCTTGGGATGGACCTTCCCAGTGCTCAGAAGAGGTGATCTTTGAAAGCCAGGCATCTTTTCTGGACCCCTGTGGTGTCCAGGATCACCTAACAAGCAGATTTCTTGGTCAAAGTCTGCTGTTCAAAACTGGAGTTGTGGTCCTGCCTTTTGTGCCACTCTCCTGTCTTAGGATCCCGAACGCCACCATCTCACAGTCACTACACCCAGTGCTGATCCCTCCTTCATGTCACCAACCAGTTCTTCCTTGATTCTAAGTATGAGGGCCAGGTGAGCACCCTTGCTTATTAGCTCCTCAATGAAGCATATAAAGGAGCTGACAGAGTGCTCTTGAACTCCCCTACATTGCTTGGGCCCTGCTGTATTGTCATTTCTAATTTAAACCTCTTCCTAGCAGCTTTAAAATTAACCATAGTATGAAATAAATCCACCTGCTTCTGTGCTCACTGTCAGCCCCTGTGCTCCCTGCTGCAGGCCTGGGGCAGCATTTGCAGGTATACTGACTGCGAGGTGGCTTGGAAGCCCAGATCTGCTGTCCTTTGCATGTCTCGAGCTGCTCTGTTACACTGGCACTTGCCTTCCTGGACAGATGTTCACCTGAAACCATCTTTTCAGTGACACATGACTAGAAATATGTCCTTGGTGAAGTGTTTTTTAGTGTTTTTCGCTTTTGAGCTAACCATGACTTCCTCTCTGCCTGAGGCTTGCCATAAGGTGAATATTCTTTTCTTAATCTTTTTTTTTCTTGCAAAATGAAGGGTTCTCCTCAAGTTTCCGGTGAGATTTGCAGTAGGATCCACCTTCTTTTTTTCTCTTCTCCTACTAACTCAGAATGCAAGAGCTGGGACTGGTTGTGGAGGTTTTCCATAGGGTTGCTCTCCATGAAGCAGAGCTGAATATAGCCTATGGCTGTCCAGCCTAGACATTTTAGTACCAAGAATCAGGTGGTGTTTTGGGAAAGCCTGGTGAGTGATCCTACTGTGATCCTACAGGGTCCTACTGTGCTGAGAACACAGGATACAAAGTTATTCTTCCCCAATGTCTCTGAATAATTGAGCCAGACAAAAGGCAGAAATGAAGGCAGAAAAAGTACATACGTATGAAAAAATTTTACCAGTTCTAAAGATGAAAAGTATTTTCATCCAACCTTTGCCAGGGACACTGTCACTGCTGGAGTTTGGTTGGAACTCCTTCCCACGTGACTAAATTAAAGGCATTAATGTACTGAAATACAGTTGATCATTGCAAGTTTTAGTGTTACCAGATTAAGGCTACAGAGCCAGCCAGGAGATAGGCCCTCAAGGGAGTCTGTCATCCCCCCCCATCTGCACTGACTTAAGGATTTGGGATAGAAGTCGTTTAAACTCTTGGGGGCTTCAAGAAAAGTCTCCTTTGGCTCATGTTGCCTTCCTTTCAGATTCCTGCAATCAGCGTGTTTTATTCTGAGCCCCAAGTGGCACCCAGCAAAGCTGCTCCACTGCCTACAGAGAAACATTGCACAACATTTGTTGGGCCAGAGCTCCAGCGCGGCAGAACGCATGGCCAGGCATTTCACAACTGCTGTCATCTATGGATTTCTGCTTACAGAAATAGAAAGGGAAAGCCCAGCTAGCTAAGTTTGGCTCCGAAAAGGAGAAGCAGAGTGCACATACACAGCTCTGCTACTTTTCCTAAGGGGGGAAGAGCTGAATTACAGAACCATCTGCATGTCTTTGGGCTGTTCTGTGGCAGGGAGTGACTTCCTCCGGGACCCTTCTGCCACGGATATCACAAGGCTTCAGGGGCTTGTCCACCACCTTGATAGCTTTCCACGTGGAAAAGCTACCCTTCCCTCATGTTTCACCCTGCCTATAGCCACGCTCAAGAGAGTTCCATGTCTCCTTGGGAGGCTGCTGGCAGACTTCAGAGTACTTTATACAGCCTTTTTAGTGCCCATCAGGATTTAAGCTCACATTTTTAGCACAGAAAAATTTAAAGCATGGCACTGCATAACACCCAGGCTTTCCCTACATCTCCTGAGATTTGGTCCTAGGAGCAGAATAACATGACACTGGGTCCCAGCAGCACAACGAGATGGTGCAGCCCTGCCAACTCCCGAGGTACCACAGCCCTCCCACAGCCTGTTCTGCCTGGGGGAGACCCAACACCAGACTTCCTCGGAACAACAACAAATAACTCATAAATATTTTAACTTTTTTTTTCTCTTTTCTCAGTGGAGGACGGGAACTGCTGGGAAATCGCCCTCCAGGAAACGTCCGTGACGATGCCCCTCTCGCTGTCACTGCCGAGGCTTAAAATGGCGCGGAACGGCAGCGAACCGCTCCCTCCTCAACTCACTCCCCCCTGCCACAGCGGGCGCGATCGGGGCACCGCGGGGATGATCCCCGGAGAGCGGGCAGTGAGTGAGCGAGGGGCGATGTGAGGCAGGGCTGCCCGGGCAGGGAGGGCGCGCTGAGGGCGGGAGGCGAAGCGCCAGCCCGGGCAGGGGGGCGGCAGCGCCCCGACAAGGAGAAGATGGCGGCGGCGCGCGGCCCAATCAGCGCGCGGCGCCGGCTCGCGCCCGCCCGTTACCCACTCCCGGCGCTCCGCGTGCCCCGGACGGTTCCATTCGCCGCACGGGCCCCCGCCCGGCGCCCGCTGTGGTCGCGCCCGGCCGGTATAAAGCGGAGCGAGGCGCACGTGTGCTCCTCAGTGCCGGCGGGAGCGGGAGGCGGGGTGGTGGCTGTGCTGGTGGTGTCGGTGTGTGGAGGGGGCGGTGGAGGTCGGGCGTGCCGCACAGTCACCGCGCAGCCCCTCGGTGCTCGTGTCCCCGTCCCCTGTGAGGGTCGCCGGTGCCCCCCTGCCCGGCCCCGCGCTGCCGCCGCTCCCCCGCGGGATGCGGGCTCGGCCCGCCCCGCTAGCCCTCAGCCCCGCGCCGGCCGCAGTATGAGCGCGGCGAGCGACACGTATTTCCTCATAAAAGACATAAAACCCGGACTGAAAAACTTAAATGTCATCTTTATTGTGCTGGAGATCGGTAAGTGGCGCCCGGCACGCCCCACCCCCGGGCCGCCCAGGCGTGTCACGGCGGGCGGGGGGGCCGGCGGCGCCGTGTCCCCCCCTGAGCCGCGCTTCTCCCCGCAGGGCGAGTCACCAAGACGAAGGACGGGCACGAGGTGAGGTCCTGCAAGGTGGCGGACAAGACGGGCAGCATCACCATCTGCGTGTGGGACGAGATCGGCGGCCTCATCCAGCCGGGGGACATCCTCCGCCTGACCAAAGGGTGCGTACGGGGCCGCCCCCGCCCGCCGGGCCGCGCAGCCCTTTGTCCTCCACTGGGCTGCGGGCGGCTCGGCCGCCTCCCCGGGGCACGGGGGGCACGGCCCACCCCCCTCGGCCCGGCTCCCTGGTTCCCGAGCCAGCGCCCTGAGGTCACTCGCCAAATTAAACCCACCTTTTTTCCAGGCCAGAAACATGCCTAGCGTGAGCATATAGGCTAGGAGGGGCTTGGGTTTGTAAGGAGGTGGTGGTGGCGAGGAGAATTCGTTTGGCTTTAAAAAAGCTCCTTAGGAAAAGATTTCTAGGGCGGGGGAAGCGCAACAGTCCTGGTCTGTAAATCAAGCAGGGGAAGTCAAAAGCATGTTCTTTTTTTCACAGCCAGTTCTTTAGCAGTCAGCTCCTTAATGAAAGGAGGGGATGGTTACATCTCCCATGCGGAAAAGTTGCTTTTCATTGCAGTGACTTTAACGAAAATGGCAGGCAGAGAACAATCTTTGCACTATAGAAATTCATGCTAAGGCTACACCGTAGATTGTTAGTTTGGTTAGGTGCAAATAATTTTTTGGAGGTGATTTAATTTAAAAACAAAACCAACCAAAAAACAACCCCCCCCACTTACATTTATTAACTGTGAGAAAGAATACTAGAGTCAATCTGAAAATCCTTTTCCATAACACTTAAACTGTCAGTAGCAAAATGATAGTCACTTTCATTTGAGTTCTTCATGTCAGTTAGGTTACACTTAGAAATCCATTACACTGATCGTTTGGCCTACAGCACTCTAGGAGATGGTGGAACTACAGTGTGTATAAGGTCCTTTTAATTTGTTTTTATGAAAAAGCAGGTGAAAGGTTACTCAGTGAGTCTGCTAACTGAGCCGCTCTTAAGTTGTTCTTTCAAGTGTAATTCTTGGTTGTGGCCTGAAATTGTATGACCCTTGCCACCAAAACTACAGCTGCTTCCTCCTATGCAAATGTCCTTTTACACGAAATGGGCTGACTCTTCAGCAGAGGTGGTTCTGGGGACGGCTGCTTGCGTGGAGAGCACGTGGAGCACAGGGATGGGTGGAACTAAACCAGAGCTCTGGGCCAGCACAAAGCCCTGTGTGTAGATGACATTGAAACAAATTAAGAGTGATGCTGTTCAGCAGTAGCTGCTGTTCAGTTACTGTACTGTGCCCTGTGACTGACTTACTGTAACTGCTCTGGTGTTCCTGTGCAACAATGGGAGATTCATGGCATCCTTTAATGTAAAAAAGTGAGTTTGGCTTGTATGAATTAAATTTGAGCTGACAACACGATTTCTCGTGGGTGGCAAAGTCATGCCTTCATTTACATGAATTGCATGTTCCCTTAGGACTGTGTAGGGAGTGAAATGGTAAAAGCTAAATACATTCTGATCTGGCTCTCATCTTCAGGAAAATGCTCTCATGCTGGTATACAGTTTTCCAAACACAATTTTGTACTTAAATAGGATCGAGTGAGTGATGTTGCCATTGCAAGGCAGGTAAATTTCAGCTTTGTAGGCTAATCTGACTCTTCAGTGCAGGATGCCCAGTGTGACAAGCAGAAAAGCTTATCCAGGTCCCATGTGTAAAGGTGCCCTTTTCCTTTTCTTTTTTCTCTTTTTTTTTTCCTTAAGCTGCAGATGCATTCCTCTTCAAAAGCAGACACTGTTGCTTAATTTTGTCACTGGATGATTAACTTTTTTACAGGAAGCTGTTGCAGTTAATATTTCTAAATTTGAAGTTAGTGCTGGAGTTCAGTACTTTATGGCCAGCTCTTTTTGAGAGAAAAACAAGTTCTTGCATACATCGAATAACTTTGTGCTTGAGGTTGTTAGTCCCATAATTTGCTAGGTGTTGTCCCAGTAAATGTATATTTTACTTACATTTATTATTTGGTAGCTCTTTTCCTTTGTGCTATGTCACAAAACTGCCCAAACAGCAGGTTATTAAAGGTTAAGCATTGGGGGAATCTTTAAAGTGAAAGGTAGCACTATGAAGTGAAGAACATTAATCCTTCTTCTGGATGGAAAACTCCTGAGATAGTATCTCCAGTTATAGTGCCTGTGCCTTCCAGCTGAAGTACAGAGCAGGTTATCAGTGCATTGGCAGTGCTGTCCTCTCCTGCCACACTGACTCCTCCCTGGTGCCTCTTTGAGGCCCTGTGTGCGGCCGGATGGCTCCTAGTCCCAGCAGATAAGGCAAAGGGCAAGAGGAAGGTTTGTTATCTATGTTCCAGAGATAGACCTGGGGCATAAGGAAGTGGTGACTTGTCCAGATTATCTGTGACTCCCAAGAATGCTATTGCTGACGCTCCCTATTCCTTTGCTAGAAGACACTTTTAACTCACTTGCACTGTGCCCAGTTCCTGGTCTGTATTTTTTTTATTATCTGCACCTATGTGATACCCCTCACTGAAAGGAACAATTACACAGGAAGTTTTGCATGACTCAGATTTCAGTGCTTGGAGTCAAGTACCACTATAAAGATTAGAGTGCACTCACACTGTCTTGTAAGGGAATGTTTATATCATTTCATTGTGTTTCTGTACATCAATCTGAACTTGATAGTCAAACTTCTGCCTTTTAAAAAACCTCAGTCTGATAAGGACCTGTACTGAAAATTAAGCACTTCCCATTACTTGCTTTCAGTAGCAGTAGCTGTTCTCCAGTGAACAAAGGTAATGCTTCCTGGCTCCTGCTGAAAGCAAAACTGAGAGTTGTCACTGAATGTGACACAGATACTGCTTTTGGCAAACTGCCTTTCCTCTGCAGGACCAGTCATAAGGGTTGCTCCAGCCAACCAAAGAGCATCCAATCTCAAAATAATTGGCTGCTTTCCTGTAATGGCCATAGGAATCTGCTGAGCTGCTGATACCTTTTGCTAGAAGTAGTACATGGGGATCTATAAACTTTTAGTGTTGGTGTCCCTGGGAATTTTTTTAGTGCATTCATGCTGATACGTAATGCTTGTTAACTCCTGGAAGACAGCATGCTTTCACTTCCTCTGTGAACTCATTCACTGAGAGACTTCTTTCTTTGGCCAGGTACGCATCTCTGTGGAAAGGATGCCTGACACTTTATACAGGACGAGGAGGGGAGCTGCATAAAATTGGGGAGTAAGTATTGCGTGTTCGTACTTTGTCTCCTCTCAGCAGAGTGTCACGGTAAGTATGAGATATGGTGGCTCTTGGTAAATGGAAGTTAGGGCAGCAAAAGTGTGTTGTTGGTTGGTCTTGGGTAGGTACAGCACAAGGCAACCCTGATACGAGTTTCCAGATGCCAACCCCCTCTGCACTGTATAACCTACGTACATTGAGGAAAAGTAGCCTCCCATTATTGGCACACGTCTGGATTTTACCTAGGAGGAGGAAATGTGTGAACGACAAGGGACTGAATCTGCATTACTTTACCTGGGCCTCAGCTTGATTAACAACTTAATTTTGGTGGAAGCCTTGTGTGCGTGTATCATGCTTGAGAAACAGGCAGTGCAAAGAAGGAAGACCGAGGTAATTCAAGTGAATCATATCTAAGCAGGAACAAGCCTCATTAAACCTGCTTTAAACTACCCACAGACTGGGGCAACAGCTCCTGACTAAGAACAAACGTGAGTAACGTACTTGAGCAACAGAAAAAATAGCAACATTTTCTAACCAGAAGAGTTGCACGAAGTTCTGTGGGAAACCTTATAGTCACTAGGGAAGTGGGGCTCTGGGGTGGCCACATCTCTTGTATGGTTCAGAAATGCCCAGCATTCAGCTGGAGTTTGTTTGAGAGAACCTGTAGATTTTATTTGGTGTAAATCCATCACCTCAGAAGTGTCATCCGGTTGGCTTACTCTCCAACAGGCTGGAGTGATGTAAGTTCCTCATCTGGGTTGTGCCTCCCAGCAGCAGGTGGGAGCTCCACTTCAGCTTAACCAGTCCAAGCTGTGTAATGATTCAAATCTCTCTTCCCCTCTGCCATAATTTCCATGTGGTGAGTTGATGGGCCTATTCCTCCAGAGTTCCCTTGAGTGGAAAAGGAGGCTTTGAATTTCATTCCCTCTATTGGACTCCTCAGTGCTGTTATTGTTAGTGGGGCACTGCATGGCATGGGAGCATGTGGGAGTGCTTAACTTTTCCCTAGACATGTAATGCAATCCCAGTCTGGGAGCAGGCTGGGTGACTCTGTGCCTCAGGTGACCTTGTGAGTGGGTGCTGGATGAGAGTGTGCAGCTGGAAGAGAGGCAAAGGGAGCCCTTTCATCACCTTTTGTTTTCCTTAGGCCAGTTTACCTCCTTGAGTAAAGATATACTTGCCTCTGCTTGACTTCACACCAGGAATGATGTGACAGCCTCACCACAAGAATTTAAAGGGATCAAAGAGCCTTTTAATAACTATGGATATTCTCTGAACAGTGGGGTCTGGATTAATTACTTTTAGGTGATGGGATGTGTCAAGAACACGTGCTCTTTGTATTGTAGAGTTGAAAACTCTGTTGAAAAATGGCTTTAGAACTTCCTCATAGTCCTAATTTCTCCCCAGGTTTTGCATGGTATACTCAGAAGTGCCAAACTACAGCGAGCCCAACTCAGAACACGTCGGGCAGAACAAACTGGTATGTTAAACTTGTCTGAGGCTTCTGGCATAAAGTGCTCTTTGTTCTGAATACTTCACACTAGGCTGTGATCAGATGTGACTCTCCTGGAGAAATGAGCTTAAAGTGATACATAGCTAAAAATGAGCCAATAATTAAAGTAGCAGATAAATTCCATGTGGAGCCACTATAAGAACATAGGAAAGTAAACATCATCCTTTCTGTAAAAATGTGAATTTTCTCTCTCTGATCCCATGTCTTTTTTCTTCTTAATATTTCTCCAAAGGCACAAGGTGAACAGAATAATATTTCTGCATCAAGTGGTATGGGTACTTGTACTTTTGGGCCACTAGGTAAGTTTTTTTCATTTTGTAGAGTGAAAAGATTGAAGGGAACAGAAAGAAGTTTATCTTACTAAGGGTTCTCCATTCTTGGGTTAAAAGTGTGCTGGGCTCTAAAAAGTCATTCAAACTGGGGCCTGAATCTCAAGCATGTAAACATGAACATTTCCTGATTATTGTTTTCAGGACTTCTTCCCTACAAGTGGAAGAGATTAGAATATTCAGGGTGCCTGTATCACATAAGGGGAACTTGACTAATCCTAAATTGTTTTGATGCTTTTGAAGAGTTTCTGCGGCACTTGAAATTCAGCTTTTTTTTTAAACTGCCCAAGACATTTGCTTTAATCTTGTTAGTAACTGTGGCTTTCTTGCCAGGTTAGCTCCCCAAAACAGAAGTGGTAGTAATCTGAATTCCAATATCTGACTTGTCTGTATCTTTTTTTTTGCTGTATTTGAGCACAGAAGCTTAATTAAGAAAATGCTTCAAGGACTTGAGCAGGTGTAAGCTGAGAGGGAACCTTAGTTATGGTCTGCCTGCACGATGTCCAGAGTCAGTACCTGGTGTTGTTAAACTACTACTGTGACCCTTTTTGCTTAAGCTAAGAAAGAGGGACAGAGGGGAAGTGGTTTGGGAGAGGAAAGAAAGGTAGGCTGTGGTTTGAGGTCTTGCAGTGTCAGGGACTGCAAAGGACCATGCTTCAGGTCCTCAGGGTCTGCTGGTTACTGCAAGCTCCATTTGTTCCCTGTTGCTAAACTTATATATGTGAGCAGTGATTTCAGTCCATGGAACTTGTAATAACCTTTTTTCTGTCTTTTTAGGAAATGGTTTACAAACTGGACCTGAAGCAAGTGGATTTCCATTCATGTATAATCATGGCCACATTTATGCAGGTAGTGGGAGAGGCAATGGACGAGGACCTGTAAATCCAGCACCAGCTAATAGTGTTCAGCCTCTTCCTCCTGCTGTCAGTAATGGGAGGGACCCACGCAGGGCCTTTAAAAGATGACTATGCCAAATGTGGTTGTACAGCTTGCTTAAACTCTACACTCTACTTGAACACTTACTGCACTTTTATTTATAGTTAACTGTGAACCAGTTTGTCCTTTGTGGTGTTTTTTTTGGTTTGTTTTGGTTTTGTTTTTTTTTTTTACCTTTTGGTCTATGGAGCAAACTTGATGTGATCTATTTCTTGTTTTGCTTAGGGAAGCACAGTGAGTCTTCCCCATACATAAAGGGGGTGGGGGGGAAGGTGGATATAAGAAAGTAAGGGTGACGGGTTGAAGTGTCTCAATTAAAACTTGGTGCCCTTTGCTGAACGTAAGAAAACTTCAGTTACACACATGTATTTCTGTTTCTGTTGGTCAGCCATGTAGCCTTAATAGGTCTATTACGTCCTGTGCACACGTGGTTTGACTTCCATTAGAGTTAATGGGAGTTCTTTGTATTGGAAGAGAAACAAAGGGGAAGAGCAAAGATGCTCTGGTGAGCCAGTAGTCCTTGGAATGAATACAGCTTGTAAAGCAATAAGTGTAAGGAAATAGTGGTGCCAGACCCGGTGGTGTCTCTGGAATCAGGGAGTGGATAACTCATATCAGCTGAAGTTGAAGACATGGTTAGTGTCTTGAAGCTTGATTCTGATTCCGAAAAGGTGAACACTACTTGAAAATTCTCTATACAACATTACCACTGTCAAGGAAAGTAACACTGATTTTTGCTTTGGAGAGAAGCTTGCATATTCATTCTTGCTTTGCATGAGATACCAGAATAGAAGGATCTAAATTCAGACAGTGTTGGGGAGTATGATGTTTGTAGCCACTCCTTGCGTAAAAACTCAAGGTTACTTTGCGGGAGTCTGAATTTCCAGGAGCGGACTGTTTCCAGATGCTGCATTACCCATCTCTTCGATGAGGCTGCCTCCTACTTCCTTCATTTACTTTTCCAAATGGAATTACATATGAGATGAAGCTGTATGTGTGGATTGCAGAGGTACTGGCCAAGCACACAGCTGAACTTAATGCTGTTAGGCTTTTCTTCCTCTGTTTTATATGAAATATGAGTTATCCCTTGAAGAACCCCACCACCTCCATGTCCTGGGGGGAAAATAGCTGATTTTATTTCTGAGATCACAAATGCCTTGACTCTAGATAAGAGTCCAGTGCCATATTTCAGATCAGGTTCAAAAACAACTCGGCAAACTGAGGTGTCATACTGGATTCATCTGTTTAACTCTTCTTAACTGACCTCTCAAATAAAAAAATTGCACTAACCACATCAAAACAAATCTAACTTTCTTTCTGTCAAGCCATAAAGACTTCATGACAAAAGGCTATTTCTGAATTATGAGTTGTTTCTGTGGTCTTTCATGGTATTTGAATCTGCCACTGTGTCAACTAATGTTTACAAGATGTTTACATTGGATACTTCTGCTTTTGGTATTCTGTCATGATTTGTTGGAAATTGCTTCTAATCGGTGAAAGTTCCTTACTTGGTGTGAAATACTGAACTTTGAAATGCCAGCCTCAGTAACAAACTTCTGAAGGGAGGTTTAGAGAGACCTGTATGGCCCAGACACCTGAGGGCTGTTTGTCTCTAGCCTGGTGCTTTCCTGGTACCTGCTTCCAGGTGGAACTAGTGAAACTTGTTTTGGACACGAGAGGGTGGCATGCTTCGTGAGATCACCCCTGGATGATCTGAGCTGCTGTGGAACAACAGTGATAATCGGTGAACCAGAAAGCATGTGGTGACTTCTGAGGAAATGGTGTAAGATGATGTGTAACTCAGGGACTTTAAACTGCTTACTTATTTAAATAAATGTAATGTATAGTCTAGATATATGGATAACCTTTTCTACAGTGTTGCATTAAGACATTTGCTATGCTTGTGAGAAGGAAGCCAAGAGGACTGCTAAGCCCAGGAAGCATATACAACGTGTTCCAGAGGTAAACAAGATGTAAGTATGGTGTGAGACTGTGCTTCCCAACAGTAGCTGTAAAGTCAGCAAGTGATGACATGGTGGGGACTGGGTACTCACTGGGGTATCTCCACTGTGGATCTCAGGTCCTGGTGATCTTGACTTCTCTGCAGCATAAGAAGTTGAAATAGAGGGGAACCCTGTGTTAGTATGTGCTGAGGTACCTGATGTTTATAGCTCTATGTATCTGAGCTTTTACTAAGCTAATAAACAGAACACTTGTTCACAAATTCCAACTAAAAAGAGATGATTGCTGCTAAGTGGCATAAGATTAAAAGCTTGCTGTCAAGTGGATGATTGATTTGCAGTTGGGAGGCCAAAAGCAAGAGGCTGGTCTTCATGTTCTCAAGGTTAGTAGCATTCCTGCTTCCCTGTTTCTTATATGAAACTATTGCAGTTTATTAATAAATTTTTACTTCTTTGCAGGGGAAATCTGTGCCCAGAAAAGTCACATGGACTTAAATATAATTTTTGAAGGTCCTCTGATCTTCCAGTGAACCTAGGACAAAGTTGTTTCCCTCAGAGGTATCACTGTCGAGATAGTTCTCAGCTTCCAGAGGAACCTGGGATCCTGCTTTATACCTGTTTGGATCATACCACCTTGGTTCATGGAGAGACAGAGATACACCCATTTCTCTATGCAAACAAGTAGTTGTCCTGAAATACTCTGACACTACAAGGCACTTCCCAGGTCATTAGGGAGTCTCTGCACATGTCTTCCTACGATATTAAAAGATAAGGCTTCACTTCGGTAGTCTCATTCTAGAATAATACAGATTTCCAAAGGAAAAAAAGGCCCTGGAAGGTGTTCACCTACCCAGACATAAACTGCCTAGTGCTGAAGTGCAGCTGAGTAGTCCTGACACACTTGAGTCACAAGATGCCCAGCTCTCATTACCCCACAACAGCTGCCCCCTTCTTCCCTGGTCTAACAAAAGTACTGATGGCAGATTGCAGTGAAGTGGCAGGGGAAGGAGTTTTCCTGTATTTCTGCTGCTATCCTCTGTGTTCTTTCTGTTCATCCGCTTCATGAATCTTTCACCTTAATCCAAACGTGGAAAAGCAGTCCTGTACTGTGACATACTGTCTTAGCCTTGGATACATGGTAAAGCCACACACTCCATGTCCACACTGAAAATAGGAATGTGCTGCGAGAACAAATGCAAATGCTGGACTGAGGCATATGAAATGTAATCTGCCTTCAGAAAACCCATTTAATTAGCCTTGGCCATCAACTGAAACTAGCAGGTTGCAGTCCTGTGCACTTCTAATAATGCTGCTCAGCAGCATCACAGATTCCAGGAAGGCTATGTGCAGGGGGTGCTGCTTCTGCCTAGCAAAGGGGTTTATGAAACAATTTTTTATCTCTCAGTGGCGTGTCTGCACAGACACACCCACCCTTAGCAGCACTGCAAGGGTTTCCTGTTCTATGAGGCAGTTTTCATCAGCAGCTCCTAAAGTGCTTCGTTAGGTCTAGGAATTAGTAAAAGCAATGGGGTTTGGAGTGTTTCTGGGGAAATGCGGGCTGCTTCATGGCCCTTGTGTTTTCACCTGCCAGGTTATTCCCCTGCTTCTCTCAAAAGGTCTTAGATCTACCCTGTGAAACGTGCTCTTTGTTAACCTCTGAGCCAAGCAGTTACACTTGCTGAGTGTTGTCTCCAGCAGTGCTTTCTCACGGCATCCCACAAGGTGCCTTGCCGTCTCCATGCAGCCCTTGCTGACAGCTGGCTGTGGAGCTGGAGTCAGTTGATTCGGGGAATTTCTTCTCAGTCCAGCACCAGTGCATGTTCCTGAAGAGATTGTGGGGCTGTGATTCCCATGGCATCTGGCATCTGGCATCTGATGATATAATAACTGGAGAGCTAAGGATGGCTATGTCCTAGGGAGGTGCTCCCATTGCTGTGTGATGCTGTGGGGTGAGCCCAGCCCTCGCTGCTGACGGGTGCAGGAGCCCCAGGCATCCCAGGAACTCATTAAGAGATGCTCTTTCTGACTTCAGCCTTAATCACGCTACTGATTCCTTTATTCTTGATTCCAGAGAATTTGAAATTGTTACGGCTCTTTATAAGGGTTCTGCTATTTAATTTATTCTGTGATGGACATTTGTGTGTGTGTGTGAATGTAATTGGATGGAAAAGATTAATCCTAAACAAGCTGTTGATTAAATTACAGAGGATGGAGTTCAAAGGGATTAGAAAAAAAAGTTTGAAAGTGACTAAGGGGAACTCTTAAGGACTTAATTTAGCTTTTTAATTTCTCTAAATTGTGAATGTTTTTTTCTCAGGAAGAAACACAGTTACAAGAGCTTCATCTAAAACTGCCCTCCCACACCCCTGCTGATGAAGACTGTCTGGATTTGTATGTGTCCCAGAGAACAAGATTAGGGAAGGAGTAAAACATCAGGATTTAGCTCAGAAAATTCTTGTGCTGTAAATGTCCCTTCAGAGCTAAATGCTTCCTTATTATATGTGTACATGGGATGCTACCTGCTCTGCAGAGTGGAGAACCCAAAGTAGTGCAGTCACTGCAGGGCTGATTGGCTGCTACGAGTCAGATAAGTTTGCACATAAAAGACAAAGCTTAATAAGCCATCAGCTGTGACTCCGCAGGAGTTTAGTTGTATGTTGGAGTGTAGCAGAGCCCTCCACCAAGCTTTGTTCAGGTTCATGGCCAGAGGATGAAATGGTCTTGCAAAGTAAAGGACAGCTATTTGGGAGATTTGGAATTGCACTTGTCCAGCTCTGCCTATGTCCCATGGGAATCACCGGGAGATCCCACTGACTTCAAGGATGTTTTGGAACAGGTCCTGTGCAGGCAGTAGTTTCTCATCTGTAAAGCCAGCATAAAGTGTTAGGGCAGATCTGTTAGGTGCTAAATTAATGATTTAGGAAGGTGCTAGATGCTGTGGAAAAGCTGAAAGCCATAACCAGTGTGTAGATTTTTTTCTTTCTAAATCAAAAGGCTTTTAAGCATGTGTATTTCTAAGCTTGGATTCCTTATAGTTAGGTAATTGTGTTTGCTCTTTTGGGTTTGCTCTTTTTCCAGTGGTGCCAAGTGCTGCAGTTCTGTGCCCAAAAACTGCAAGCAGCTCGCTACTGCCTCGCTGGGCCCTGCCTGCAAGTGCTGC